GACATCAATATTTTGCCAACTAACATTTTTTTTAACAAAATCATGTAATAAAATTCAAATACATAAATTTCAAAAATAGACAGAAATTAATAAAAAGAAAAAAAAAGAAAAATCTATTTATGATTATACATCTCTCGGATTTTTTTCTTACTATCTGGTTATAAATTTCAAACATATAAAAGTTAAGTAAACTAATATAAACAACAACTAGAAAATATTACAAATATATCTGAATAATAAATAAATTTAAAAGTAAAAAATATAGAAAAGAGGAAAATCTATTTACGATTTTGAGTTTTAAGTTTCATCCTTCTCAAGCAACTTAAAAAAAATGACTGAATCTAATTGAAGTATTCCCCTTTTTGATAATCAAATTAGAACTTATAGAATTTTAAAATTTGATAGTAAAAAACCAAAAAATAACCAAGACAAAACTTTTTTAAAATATATAAAATAATAATAAAAAATAAAACAATTTGAATTTCGTGAATTACATAATATAACCAAACACATAATTTAATAAAAAGGCTTCATTTCCAAAAATATATAGTGAAATTTATAAGAATACAAATTAAGGAAATTCCTTAAACATTGTTTCCACATTTCTTCGAAGTAAAGGTAACATGAATAAATAAGAGTGAATCTAAGAATTTCTTCCTCCCTTCTTTCTATCATCAAAATCAAGTTATGAAAAATTAACAAGAGGGAAATAGATGAATATCTATCTATCTACTTATTTTGGGTTCGCCACATCACCATCCACGTCATAAAATCCACATCATCAATTCAAGAACATAACAAATGTCTTTCTAAATAAAAATCGAATGTTTTTATTTTAGTTTTGTTCTTGCACAGAATATTTGGTTTTACACGGATTTTAAAACTGCGTTTGGATCCATATGTAAACAAAAGGAAGATCCGTCAACCTCTTCTTCCTGATTTGCTTTCTATGGTTCATCGGCCCTTCGATGATCAAACTTTATCTACCAACAATGGCATGTAATTCGATGCTTCGTCATTAATTTCTCCTTTGAAATATGTTCATGTCGTTTTGTTCTTGATTTTTCTATTTCTAAACTGTTACAAATTGTAGTGATTTGATATCATTAACAAAAATTTCACTCTTCCTGCCCACTACAACCATGATCTCGCATTCAATAAATTTTACATCTTCAAGTTTCTAATATCGATATAAATTTTATTTTTCGTGTAATGATTTTCTTATCTGTCTGATCTATGATCTGATGATTAGCCCGTTGTTCCTACAGGTGGAGGGACGGCTGCTCAAATTTTGGGAAACAAGTGAAACCGAGGCAGAGTGATATTTTAATTCCTAAAATTAACAAACAAAAATATATCTTATCCTATAATTTTTTTTCAACAATTTTTTTCTAAAAGATAAAAATCATTATCATACACATATCTTGTGAATGTAAACCTAATACATAAATCACAATAATAACTTAGATTACAAATATAGTATATATCCCGTCCGTAGGGCGGGTCGACCCTAGTATTAATAGAATAAAGTGTTAAAAACTATATCCGCTTATGTTTTAAAACCACCACGAAAATCTTAATACTACACAATTACGGTAATGAGCTTGTGTCTAAATAGTGTTCGTGCAAGATTTTGTTTTTTCTTTTGTTTTTCATTTTTAAATAAATTCTGATCATTTCTGAATGGTGAGCAAACTTATATACACCACATAAAAGACGGTCAATGTCGTTCATAACTTCATTGTTGTACCTTCGGAGAACCTACTAGAATTAAAGTAAAAGTCATCTCGGGATCAGTTTAGGTTAGAGAACAGTTGCATGAGGTGATCTGCGGTTGTTCTTCGATGATAAATGTTTAGGATACTCGATAGTATATCAAAATGAAAATGTCTCCCAGAATTTTGAATCCCTTTCATGAAATCACTGATAAGAATTCAGGTCACTGAAAATTCATGTGGAATTTTTTTGTAGAAATATAAACTTACACACCAAAATCTAAACAACAACCTAAAATACGTTAGCTAGTTAAAATCTGTGTTTGCAAAAACAAAATATATCATATCATAGTGTATTAAATGACAAATCTTAAGAATTCAGGTCATTGTCACTGAGAATTATGTGGTAGGTTCCATTTATCAATCTTTCGTATGAGTCATGTGTGTGTATTATGTTCAGCGTGGGTAGCTTCATAAAATACGTTAGCTAGTGTTATTAGTGAGCTCTTGCTGTACTTGGTTAGCATGTTTTCACGACCTATGTGGATAAGTTTTGCGAGGATCAAATCCTCGTAATTTTTGCTAATCATTCTAGTTATACTTACCCTAGTTGAAGACTGAGTAATCAATTTTCCAGTTCAGTATTGAACGAAATAGTGAACTGGAAAGAGTTGATTTCTGATTTTAGATCCATGCCTTTAATACTTATGTGGAATAGTTCCGTAGAAATATCGCTTTTAATACGTTGTACACTGATATTTTAGAGTCATGGCCATTATATCGTAACCAGTTTGAAATTTGTTAAAGAGGAAAAGTTTAGAATCAAATCATGTATGGGCTACGTACTTTCCTTATATCTCCCCTTTTTCTTTCAGCTATTAAAAACAATGTTTAATTTGAACTGAAATCTTCGAAAACAGTGGTAACTATAGAAAATTGATCGAGTACGAGAATCATGCATATAAAATAGAAAATTATTTTGAAATGTTCCCTTTAATTCAATCGAAACAGTAGTTAAAGCTATATATAGTTACCAGCGAAACGTTTGTTGAACTACAAGCTTCAAATGTATTATCGTTTTGTCTTTGTAATTACATATGAAAAAGAAACTTTGTTGTTAATCTCACTTTCTTGCAACCAAGGGGATCAGACAAATAAGCTAATGAAATAAACGATAAGCATTAAAAATAGAGAAGTTTCAATACTTACAAGTTTGTGAAATCAGTTATAATAGGTTATCTGGTTATGATTTATGAATATGAAAATTACTGAAACGATTTTTTTTTTTTTTTTTTTTTGGCTTCAGCGAAAAAGAATTATAAAATAAGAAACGAATAGTTCTTCTAAGTTAGAAAAGATAAAAGAAGTTATCAGGTGATTCTCTGCTTTCAAAGAAGATTAAGTAAAATTCCAATCCCCACATCCTTTCCCTATTCCCCAGATTTGCTTAATCTTTGCCTTTAATTTAAGTTTTATTTTATTTTATTGACGGAAAGAGAACACGGTTAGTATTATTATCCCGGGGAAAAATAGACTAAGTTAAAGATAGTTTCAAGGGAACTAGTCTGTGTAATAACCAAAATTAATGTCTTAAGTTCACCTAGTCTCCGTGCATATTTGCACGTGCTCCTTTAAAGAAAAATAACATAATATTCCATCCGTTTCATTTTAGTTATCTTTCTAAGTTTTTGTACATAGATTAAAGAAACATTTAGTTTTAAATATTTTCAAAATAAAATACAAATTATACATGTAACCACTTTTCAACCAATAAAATAATATAATATTCTATAAAACTAATAAATTTTATCTCGAAACTCTAAAACGACACTTAATTTGTAACAAAAAATAAGCCTAGAATGACAAGTATTCTGAAACGGAAAGAGTACTAATTTTTGATCTGCGCGCTCGCGCAAACTTTATTTTTTTACAACGTTATTATATTATTTATTTTTCATATAGATATAGATATATTATATATATGTACAATCCAGATTATATGAAAGGTTGTTAATAAACCAGTCCAAAAAACTTTGTTTAGTGTTTTAAGTGTTTAACTTATTGAAAGTTTTACAAATTTGGGCATTTTTAACATATAAACCTATGGATTTGTTATAAAAGTATTTTTTTATTATTTTTTTTTCAGATTTTGGACTCTTTTAACAAAGATCTAGAGACTAAAAACTTGGCCCATTTGAACATGAATTATATACGAAATTTTAAAAATTTTGGACCTTATCAAACATATGGATATATTATATATGTACCATACAATTTTTTTAGTAATTTAGCTTTATAATTAATAGTAGATTTTTTTGATAAGTAACATCTATATTTTTTTATCTAAATATATATTATCTGCATTTTTTTCCTATTTAATTGTCGTCAACTTAAACAATTTTCTAAAATAATATTTTTATATTGCTAAACACATTAAGATGGATTAGATAATAACTACATAAAAGACAATATATGGTCAAAGTTAATGTTTTCTAAAAAAACTTATTTGTCATTTTCAAACCAATTTCTATTTTTCTTTTATATAATAGGATTTATATTGAAATTTTTTAATATTGACAATTCAATATACCTTTCAATCATGTTAACCCAAAATAATATCTCAAGTTTCAGAAAGATAATGACGATTATTCTTTCGATAGAGTGCAAAACTTATATTACACGACTCCAAATGATAACAAAAATTTTTGACAAATTTTTTTGACATATTTTTTTTTTAAAAAACGACTCAGTTATATATCTCTTTCAAATCATATTGTAAGATGTGTCATAAGCGAATCTTGAAGAGAACAAGAAAATCTCCATCAAATCACGTCAAATATATAATGAAATTTTTTGAAGGAGATTTCTGAATTCTAACCATATACACACTAATAATTATGTAACCAATTAATAATTTTTGAAACAACAACTTGTAACACATAATATATATCACAAAATAATGATTAACTACTTAAATATTACTCTATTTCACACTAAATCAATCGGTTATCTAAATCAAACATTTATTTAAACCAAACGTAATATATTTATAACCAATCACAGCAATCAAAATAATAAAGAGCTATGAACATAGATAACCGATTAACATAAAAACATTAAGTTTAGTTTAATACATCAAAATATTAAAGGGAAAGTGGTTTTCTAAACCAGACAAAAGTTCAAGACATTCATAGCCGAAACACCTTAAAACATAAGACATACCAAAATAGATGAGTAAAGAGATTAATTAACACCACATTTGTGGCTCTCCTAGCTTTTCCCAATTCAGATTAGGAACCTTGACATCAGAAAGACGGGCCTGAACAAGAGCAAGTTCTTTTTTTCCAGCTTCTCCATCACATCCATCATGACGCCGTCGTTGAAGAGCTCTTCAAAGAGTTCTAGTTTACCAGAAATGTGATAGACTTCGACCTCAACATCGTTCTTAGCAATGATGGCTTCATGGAACTCCCTATAAATGTTGAGAATCATTTGGTAAGCTTAGTCCTATCATTCATTCCAGATGTGAACGCATCTTGCAACAAAGATCCATGAAAATAGTTAGCAGCCATACTTAAATCGTGATCTGCATGCTCATTTAAATAAACTTTTGTTAAAAAAAAGATGATGTATACAAAAAAAAACATTTAACTCTCAATAAAGAAATTAAAAGAGAATATATATATGAAAGATAATGATTTGTCAGGAAAAAAATAGACTAAATTATGGTAGATCTTCTTAACTCTCTAGAACTGATCATGCATGTTATTGTGTAATATAATTGTAGAAAAATAAACAAAATGTTTGGTTCAACAAAGAAAGATCTAAAAAGATAGGTAACAATCGTTGATTCCATATGAAACCTAACACAAAGATGGTATGCCAAACCTTGAATAAGCAGTTCGTCCACCTGGTAACAATAAAGATGCAATCCCACTTGATGCAACATTAAGAAGAATATCACCTCTAGGTCGGATTGCCGCCGAAAGAAATCTCCAGATGAACGTTTTACCAGTGCCACCAAATCCATAAACAAAGAACATTCCACCTATATCTTCATTAACAGCAGCGATGATCTCATCGTAAACCCTCCTCTGTTCGTCAGTCATCTTCTAAAGATCAGTATCAAGAGTAGCTAATAGTTCTTCAAGATTGTAGTTGCGTTCATCAACTATTAGGACTTTGGAATCTTGATCACTGCTTCTACGTGGTTTAGGCATAGATTCAAACAGTGAAAGAGAACTCCCATTTCGTCTCATAATCTTTTCAACCTCTTGGAGAGCAAACTGTTTATTTTTTTATCATCATCACTTAATATGAGACCTATAATTACAATGTTAGGAACTGTTAAAACGAAAAACAAAAACTATAATAAACTGGTAATATTATATACACATATGATTAGTTTTTTTATATCCTTCCTAGGCCTATTCAAAAGCCGTATCCTATTATGCTCAATATCTTCAGACAAATACTTCCATGTTTTTTTTCCATACATCCTCTGGTTTGGACAAACTATCAGAAAGCAACATCATGACAAATACCTGGCGAAGAGAACTTGCAAAACCGTCAAAACTTCTTAACAAGTAGCGCCGGTAACAACGTTCAGCAACACTCAAAGATAATAAGATTTTTCTTGCGTCTTTGGAGCATAATTTATTCTGCCAATGCTGAATCCCTTTTTTCGCCTATTGAACTTCTTATTCGTCTTATCAAAAGTAAAGAAGTTAGGAATTTGAGCATAAGTAAGATTTCTTGCAAATTCATCAACTTTATACAACTCAAACCATGCCAAAAACATGGTATGCGTGATAAGCTTACGATTGACGACGTCCTCAATCTTATCTTTGCCTTTGAAAAAGATAGTTTATTTTCCAGGAAGATGAAACAGAAGCTTCTCAACTGATGTAGACCGGCCGATAATGTATTGGGAAAGCAAAAGTTCGCCATCCAGCTTCACAGGAAGAAACATATCTAAAAACAAAAATTATTAAATTAGTTCAAATATGCCATGTTCTAATGATTAAAACTGAGATTAAAATTTTAAAAGTTATGGATTCCAAAACCTGCAATCGAAAAAATCTTGGAATTCATTATTCTTTTTTGAACATTAGCTTCCCCATTAGATTCACCAGCATTAGATTCAACAGAACCTTGTGGTTCCACCACAACAGTCACACGATCACTACCCTTATTGATGTACTTAAATAAGTACTTGATAGAACTTGCTTGGTTGCACCACTCCACATTAATATGAGCCCGGTATAGAAGAGAGAGTTTCTTGTTGTAAAGAATAACAAATTTGTTATCACAATTGATTCCATTTTTCAAAATAAAACTATCAGACTGCTCTTGCCTTCTATAAACAGGGTAACCTTCTTTATTTACTGTTGTCTTCTTGGAAAAGGATTTTGGATACAACTTAGAACATTGTCCATTCTCCATACATGGTGCATTTCTATTAGCAGCTCCACACGATCCATGAATCATCATATCTTTAATAACACCATATAGTTCTGGTTCAGTGTTCTTATTGGGAATTTTGGCCTTTATAATCTTTTCAATATCATCTGTCGTGCGAAACTTGCATGTAAGATGCATGAAGAGTAGAATATGAGCATGTGGGAGTCCACGGTTTTGAAACTCAATTGTGTACATAGCTGAAACATAACAAATAGTTCATAACAAATAAATAACATCATTATAATCTAATACGTAAATCGTGTTAAAGAGTGAAACATGATAACTTACATGCAACTGTCTTTCCTAGAAGATTTTCTTGGTAAAAGAATTCATCAGAGAGTCAATTTTGATCTTAAACATCCTAGATATGATTTGTGGTCTGTCTTCAGGTGTTAACTTGCGCTGTTCTAGGTATCATGTGATCTCTGGCCACTTAGGATTGCAAGTGAAGGTAATGAACGTATCTGGAAAAACTAAAATGCTTGCATATGGTCATTGCATCCAAATAATTATTCTTCATATACCTAGGTCCTCGTGCAAAAGTAGCTGGTATAACATATTCCCTACCTTGCTCTTACAAATCAACAGCCCCTGCACTCTCTGACTCTTTGAGAGAATCATAACTATCAGATCGCAAAGATGTCTAATTAAACTTCAAATAGCGTAGACGACTGGACTCTATAGTGGTATAGGCATTAACCAAGAATTGCTGGAATAGACGCCTAGAAAGTAAAAGAGTATGAGACTCATTATTTCGTTCATGGAGACGAAATGCAAAGAATTGTCTCATGGATATAGTCTGCGTTTTTTTTTTCGTTTTTGTAGCTTCTGTGACTCCCTTATTAATCCGAAGTCAAAATCCATCCTCTCCATATATAAATATTAGAGGATACTGAAGTGCGAGATACGCAACATGAATCTCGCTAATCCTCATATGCTTTACAGACTGTTTTTGTAAAACAATATCCCTTTTATCCATGTCAAAATTGAAATCCCTTGGAATCAATGCTGCAATCTCATATGCCGTGGGAGTATTATAAGTCCTACCATCTTTTACCCGAGCACTAACAATCCTCATGTGAAAAGTCTCTTCCGGATGATCTTTAAATCTGTCCCTCGCATTTCTAACCTCTTTTACATACGGATTAACATCATTTAATACCTCGATCAAAGCCTCGATAATCTCCTTCTTCAACTTTTCTTTCTTCTTGTGTTGACCGCTATTTTTCCCTTTGCTGTATAAAAGAAATTAACAAATCTCGGTTACTATCAAAGTGTTTATCAATACAAATAGTGTATTAGAAGAAAGCAAAAAAAAACGAACAACTACAACATACCTCAATGCGTTAGCTCTGTTTTTACTTCATTTTCAGTGTCAACAATATATAGTTGTCTAAACCTTGCACCCACTCCATCATTTGGTTGTAAACTACGCACTAAATGATAGTTTTCACCATGAATCTGAAACATTTGTGGTCCAAGACCTTTTTGTGCAGCTCTTTAACAGTTTCCACCAATTGATGTAAAAGTAAAAACCATATTGTAAGGTCTTGTGTTTTTCTGAAAATGCTTGCTGAGTGGATCATCTCCGGTAAGCAATCTTGTAATAACTTCTGGGGGTTCATTAAGAAGAGGTGATACCACTCAAATTACCCTAGGAGTGAGTTACTCTCATCAAAAGAGGTTCATTTGTAGTACTTAGGGATATCCACATAGACTCTAGGATTACACAACAGATTATTTAGTTTTCGAAGTAAAGCTAGATAGCAAGTTTTAAACAATAACTTAAAAGGTAACCAAGCAATTGCTTGATTGATTGATTTGTTTGTTAAGAGGAAAGAAGATAGTTAAACTTGGTATTTTCTCAGTTATGACAAGCATGCAAGTTATAAAGGATTTTTATTATTCATAGTTCTGGATTCAAACTCTTAAGGATTTGAAGTATTAACTCTTACTGGATCTCGGGTCAAGAACTATCGTTCGATGACCTTGAGTAAATATCGATCGATAGTTTGATAGAAATATCGATCGATGTTGTTATGCTATATCGGTCAATGCGACGGTTATCTCATCGATCGATATTGCATCCAGCGAGTACTAATGATAGGTTTGAAAGGGTTCTCTTGTCTTCAATAAACAACTTAGACTCTAGGTAATTGCTAAGTTCTCACTTATCCAAATTATTCCTAAAATCAGAGGTAAGGGTGATCAATCCTTAACATTAATATTCATGATGACTAGATTTAGAACTATATTTTAAACACCCTAGTGATGATTACTTCAATGCATGAGTCAACCCTAATGAGAAACCTAAATCTAACAAGAGAGACTACTCAAACATATTTATAAAAGACAGAGTCATAATGGTTTGAATAATGCTTTAAGATAATGAAAATAAAAGAAACAATAAGTAAAGCAAGGGAGTTCAAGATCTTGTGTGGATTGTAGTTCAGATCTCTCTCTCAATTCCTAACCTTTTCTTCAAAGTATGGCTAGATGCTTCTCTCAAAATTAGGTCTAAAAGTCTCTAGAGAGGTCTGCTTAATCTAGTACAAAACCCTCTTAAAATAGCCTAACACGCGGCCAGGCACTTAAGGTGTAAATTATTAAAACTCTTGTGAAGCAATTAGGGCTTCTAATCTTCACTTAATTGCTTTGGAGGACTTCTTTATCGATCGATATAGAACCTTCTATCGATCGATTTGTATGATCTTTCATCGGTCGATTGCTCCTAATGCGCATCAGTCGATGTCTTCAACACGTTTTGCTCATATCTTCATAAAGTCTTCATTTTAGCTCCAAAATGGCCATTTTAAACCAGTGAGTACCTAAACCTGTAAAAGCTCTAAAAAGAAACTAAAAGTATCCTTTTGTTTCCAAAAACATATATAAATCATGGTTAAAAGTGGGTAAAATCCATGATATATCAACTCCCCTAGACTGATACTTTTTCTTGTCCTCAAGCAAATAATAGAACATTGGTCTAGAAAAGGTTTGAAAGGCGGAAGCTCCTATAATTGTAAACTTAA